GTTTGTCTCCATGGATGTCACCTTCTTTGAGGAGATACCCTATTACCCTAGGGTTTCTCCTCAGGGGGAGAGCAGTGAGAGTGGGGCTGTTTTGAGTTTCTTTCCTCAGGGGGAGAGCAGTGAGGGTGGAAGTGAGGGTGGAAGTGGGGCTGTTTTGAGTGGGGCTGTTCCTTTACCTATTCCACTGGGTAATGAAGGCTGTAATGGTGAGGGTGGTCAGAGGGAGCAGGAGTTGAGAGTCTATCACAGGCGATGCAGGTAGGTTGATCCTAGTCATCAGCAGTCCCGGCTAGCTCCAGTTCCTCCTGCGGCTCCAGATCCAAAGCCTACTGAGACACCTCCCACTGTTGCCACTTCCCCCCTTATGGATGACCTTGATCTCCCTATTGCCATTCGCAAAGGGAAACGACATTGCACCACTTCTACAGCTCACAACATCTCACAGTTCTTATCCTATGACCGTTTATCTCCCTCTCACCGGTCCTATCCTATCTCACCTCCATTGCCAATGTCCCTATTCCAAGAATAGTGCAAGAAGCCTTATCAGTTCCAGAATGGAAAGATGCAATGCAAGTCGAAATGGATGCCCTGTTGAAGAATAATACTTGGGCACTGGTTGACCCACCCAAAGGAAAGAAACCGGTGGGATGCAGATGGGTGTTCACTGTGAAGCATAATGCTGATGGCTCTATTGAAAGGTACAAAGCCCGACTGGTYGCAAAGGGGTTCACTTAGACTTATGGTATAGACTCCTTGGAGACCTTTTCCCCAGTAGCCAAGATGACCACCATCCGGGTTCTGTTATCCCTTGCAGCAAATCATTCTTGGCCCCTGTTCCAGATGGATGTCAAGAATGCCTTTCTGAATGGAGACTTAYAGGAAGAGGTCTACATGCAGTTGCCTCCTGAATTCTATGATACAGAGACAGGTAAGAAGGTTTGTCGATTGAACAAGGCATTGTATGGTTTGAAGCAGTCACCTAGAGCCTGGTTTGATAGGTTCAG